TGCAGCAAAGGGCCCATTTCTTTCAGTCCAGCATAGATCACCCAGCATTTCCTGCCGGTGCTTGCAGACAGTGGGTTGCCCGGGCACAGCTCGTCGCTGTACAGGCAGAGTGAAAGCTGGTCGGTGCTCTCCAGCATCTGCGACATGGCCCTGTAAAAACCACCACCAGCCTTGTAGGCAGAATGCAGGAAGGAACACAAGTTGACGAACTGCACTTGGATGCTTGATCCATCCTGCAGCAGCACATCCTGGTGCACCAGCAAGGGGCCATGTCCATCAGCCTCATCTATGACGCAGCGACTGGCAGTTCGCATATCCTTGGCAGTCTTCTTCTCGGGCATGCCATTCTTGTCGACATATTTCAAAATCGACTCGAGGGCTTGCTTGCTCACATGAGGAACATGAGATCGCAAGTCCAGCAGCTTGCGATGCTTCTGAGGCGGCTTAGACATGCCATTCCAGCAAGCAAGCACTGCCTGTGCATTGCAGAAGTCACACGTAGAGTTGCTTATCTCACATGCCTTTTTTGTAACACGACAATCACATTAGTGTACCTCTGCATTTCAAGACTGCAAAGATGCAGTTTTGCATAAATGTAAAGGTCTGAGAAAATAGAGCATGCGGTTTAGGCTTCAGTGTTTAAGGGTAGTCTTTGAAGTGAGTTCTACAGCAAGAAAGCTCGAAACCTGTCAGCCGAATTGCTGCTTCGCTTTAAGCATCAATGCACGTCTCCCTTCTGTTTGCATGCACATGCTCAAAAGGCACATAAAACCAAATGGGCCCGGATGGCACATCTACAGTATATATGAAGCCACCAAAAGCTAGCATGCATAGACCTGAAAAGGGAGCCTGCAAAAGCTATGTATAGACATACATATCTATATATGAGCCTCGAAAGGCTGACATTGGGAACAAGTCTTCAACCAGAATAAAGCACTACACAGTTCTTGTTTCTCCATGGCCGCCCTTGGAGCTTCGGATGCTTTCTTGCCAGCAGCAGGATGCCATATTTGCATCCCCTGCGAAGCAATCAATGGATTCATTGATTGCAGAGAGCAAAGCGCCGAGCCGGCCATTGCTCACCCCACCCGAAACCTTGCCGCCAGCAGCCAGGTACTTCTCACTTGAGGTTGTTCTGTTTCTGCAACTCCAGCCATTCTGCCCGATTGACTCGCTTGCCACCAAAAGCAGGATCACGGCATTGATCACACCCCTGGACGGCTCCTCGACATCTCATACAGCCCAATTTGAGCCTTACATGACCACATTGTGAATGGGCACAGAAAAGTCAAAGGAAAGCTCTACTTTGCTACGGAATCAAATAAAAAGGAAAGATTATTATTGTGTAAACAAACAAGAAACGGCTTGGACGAAGTGCCAGCAGAAGCGTTTTTTTTGCTCAGCTGTCCCGGGCCAGCACAGGGTCGCTTCAGGACACCTCCCTTCTCCTTGGTCTTTCGGGCCCGCTTTTTGTCGGCCTGGTTCTCCAGCTTGTTGAAGGCTTCTTGCTCGAACTCCTCAAGGCTTTTTCTCTTTTCCCCAGCACTGCCGTTGCTGCCAGCCTCTTCGCTGGCATTTGCCTGACCAGGAAGCCCAGCTTGCACAGGCAGCTGCAGAGCCGAAGCTTGCCCAGCAAGACCTGTAAGGGCCGGTGCTTGTGCAGCAGGCAAAGAAGCTTTGGAGGGCAAAGCAGCTGCAGCTGGAGCCAGCTGTTCTGTAGCTGGCACCGAAAGCTGCGAGGACGAAGGGTCTGCAGCTGGAAGGGCCAGCTGTTGTGTACTAGGCAACGAAAGCTGTGGCGGCGAAAGAGGATTTAGAGCAGCTTGTCCTGCACCAAGATTCTTCAGCAGCTCCAGCTTCACCGGGCTTCTGGAAGCCTGC